CGAGGAGCCCCAGGAGGCTGCGCCTGGCCGCGCGCGCGCCGTGGAGAACCAGTACTCCTTCTACTAGCCCGCGGCGCCGCCCGGGTGGGACACGCCAAGCTCTTCAGTGAAGACACGATGTTATTAAAAGCCTGTTTTAGGGACTGCACCCGGCTCTCCTGTCGTCCTTTCTCCCACGGGGAAGGCGGGGACTGCGGGGCAGCCACTCTCAGAGACCCCCATCCAGCCCAGTGTGGCCTGACACCTGCCAGGCCCCCTTACAGCTGTGTCTCTGGTGGGACAGCTGAGGGACTCCCCATGGGCCATCCGGCAGCACCTGAAAGAGGGCCCAACAGCAAGGGTTAGGGCTTAGGATCCGGAGGGGGTTTTAGTGGAGCTGTGAGGCAGAGAGATGGGGGTGGCAACAACAAGGGGTGCTGGAAAGAGAGGAGGGGGCATTCAGGACACAGGGATGAGGAGCACGCCCAAGTCATACGGAGACCTTGGATGCCAGGAGGAGGAGTCTGGGCTCCGTCTAGGAGGGTAAAGGCGTTTTGGGGCAGATCTATGAAGTCTGGCGGTGTGGACAGGGTGGCACGGCAGAATGTCTCCGTATTAGCCCTTAGGGGATTGGGCAATGGAAGAGGCTGGATTTCCCAGCTGGGTCATAGACTTAGAAGAAGCTTAAAGAGCCCTCCCACCCACCGCACTCCACCCTACTCACACCCTGCCCCACCCCGTCCCATTCCCAGCCCACACCTACCCACAGGTGGAATTCCAGCTGTGGCTCCCATGACCCCAAGCTCAGGAGACACTGCCTGCTGGCAGTCCCAGCACCCCATGTTCAAGAAAGATCTTGTTCCTACTAAGCCAAACCTCTGCCTTCCCCCCAACGCCCCAGACGTGGGGTCACAGACCCACGGTCCCCTTGCCCAGGACTGGCCTTGCAGGACTTGGGCCAGTAATGCATCCATCTTTCTTTCTTTCTCCTTCCTTCCTTCTTCCCTCCCTCCCTCCCTTCCTTCCTGTCTCTTCTCTTTCTCTCTCTCTCTCTTCTTTCTTTCTTTTTCTTTCTTTTTCTTTTTTGAGACAGGTGCAGTGGTACGATCTTGGCTCACTTGCAGCCTCAACTTCCTGGGTTCAAACTATCCTCCCACGTCAGCCTCCCAAGTATCTGGGACTACAGGCGTGGCCCACCACGTCCAGCTAATTATTTTTGGTAGAGACATGGTTTCCCCATGTTGGCCAGGCGGGTCTCAAACTCCTGAGCAATCCTGGGTGGGAGGTGATCCACCCTCCTCAGCCTCCCAAAGGGCTGGGATTATAGGCATGAGCCACTGCGCCTGGCCAGTGATGCGAATTTCAGATCCCAGACATCTAAATCTCTCAGGACTGTGACTAACACTCACAGCCTCCTCCCCATAAAAGGGGCATGAACACCCTTGGGCGGCTCCCAGGGCTATCAGTCACCCGGTCCCCATGCACAAAATCACCAGGAAGTGACAGAGCAGGGCCCCCTGCTGCCACCATGGTGAGGGAAGAATACAAATTCTGCGATCAGGAGAGCACCCTGCTACCTCTGCTTCCAGCACCTCCATTCAGTTGTGGCTGGAGCCCTTCTGCCCCCGTGCCCTGGTGGTTTGGGGTCTATGCCAGGCCAAGTGCAAGCCCCCATTCCACTCCAACAAGAACAGAGCGGGCTCTGGACTGAGGCTTGGGATGGGCAGAGGAACAGGGGCAGACTTAAGACTTGGACCCACCGGGTGGGGGCAGTGGTTCACACCTGTGATCCCAGCACTTTAGGGGGCCAAGGCGGGCAAATCACCTGAGGTCAGGAGTTTGAGACCAGCCTGGCCAACATGGTGAAACCCCTCCTCTACCAAAAATACAAAAAAAAAAAAAAACCTGGCCAGGCGTGGTGGTGCACGCCTGTAATCCCAGCTACTTGGGAGGCTGAGGTGGGAGGATCGCTTGAACCCAGGAGGTGGAGGTTGCAGTGAGCCAAGATTGCACCATTGCACGCCAGCCTGGGTAACACAGTGAGACTCCATTTCAAAAAAAAAAAACTTTGGACACAGAGTGTGCCAGCCTTCAGGCCCTCCTGTCCTTTCCTCCTGATGTAGTCGGCCATAGCAGAGGCCACTCTCCATGCTGAATGTTCACAACAGAATCAGCACAGAAGCAGGCAAAAGCACTGATGGCTGTCACCCTCACTCAGTGGGGTCTCATGCACATACACACACACATAGAGTATAAGACTGCGGGAGAAGGTCTGTGCCCATCCTAAGGGGGACAGGCACTGTTCCTGGGGAGTTCACAGGTTAAAGTGGATTCGGGGGGGACAGCAGGAGAAGATGATACGGTGACCCCCCTGGGCTCTCCCAAGGGACGCGGCAGGAAGACCCAGGAGGTCAGTGAAAAGGGAGCTCTCTCTTCAGTCTGGCCACCAGGGTGAGATCCTCAGGTCTGTCACTCAAGAGGGTGCTTCCAGACAGCCCACACTCAGTGGGGGCTCTGGCGAAATCACAGCAGTTGCACAGACGGCAGCAACATTTTCAAGGGGGTTTCATTTGTTCCTCAACAAGCATTTCAGATGCCTGCTCTGTGCCAGGCCAGGACCATGGGATAGCTGAGCCAAGTTTTGGGACCACGAGTGCCCTGGCTGACTGTGACACTGGGTGTTGGGGGCTTGGGGGACTGCAGTTACGGGAGCAGCGAGGTGGGATATGAAGCCTGCAAGGTAGAGAGAGCCTCGAATGCCAGACCAGGGAGTTTGGAAGGTGCTGGGAGCCAATGCCAATTAAAATGGGAGCTGAGATCACCCTGTAGCCAGAGGGTTGGGGCAAGGATGGATTGGAGGTGGCAAAATGAGGCGGAGCCCAGGGAGGCTGTAGTGGGTCTGGGTGAGGGCAACGAGCCAGGGTGGGGCAGCAGAGGAGGAGGACAGTGACGGAAGAAAGATCATAGCCGGGTGCAGTGGCTCATGCCTGTAATCCCAACACTTTGGGAGGCCAAGGTGGGTGGATTAGCCGGGCTTGGTGGTGGGCATCTGTAGTCCCAGCTACTCAGGAGGCTGAGGCAGGAGAATGGCGAGAACCGGGAGGCGGAGCTTGCAGTGAGCCAAGATCGCGCCACTGCACTCTAGCCTGGGCGACAGAGCCAGAGTTCATCTCAAAAAAAAAAAAAAAGAAAGAAACTTCCTGCGATGTTGAGGGGCTCTTACATCCCTAGTATTAAGAGACAGCAAAGCAGCCAGGCACAGTGACTCATGCCTGTAATCCCAACACTTTGGGAGGCTGAGGCAGGCAGATCACTTGAGGTCAGGAGTTTGAGACCAGCCTGGCCAATATGGTGAAACCCTATATCTACTAAAAATATGAAAATTAACCCAGCATGGTGGCGGGCACCTGTAATTCCAGTTACTC